AAAAACAATATTAAGCGCAATAACTTTTTTGTACGCGAAAAAAAACCAATAGGTCCGTCGGGACTGGAACCCAAGACTCCTTTCTAATACGTCTACTTTACAGTGAACGGACGAAAGAGAATCCGTTCACGACCATGGTCCCTTCGATGATTTTCCGACGTACCGAACACTCATGATCTGACAACATTGTACTTTAGACTCGACAACACTGTAGAAGTTAGACTATGTAGTTGAGCTCGAATGGATTTAACGTAGTTCACAAATTCACCGTTCTCATAACGTAGAGGGCAGCAGAAAATCTCTGACTTTTTACACTATCGGTATTTCAGAAAATGAGACACGAAGTCCCATAAGATGATAGGTCTATCCTATACTTCGTCGGTGGTATTACCTAACCTCTATGCAACAAGAATATTTCGTTTGCTCCTCGTTAATACGTTGTTATTGAGATATCTGACTATTGATTATTATAAAACAGATCAGGAGCAATTTTTTGGTGCCATAATATTTGTGTAAAAAGGCCATTTACTACCTATTTTGTTAAAAAGAAATTTTTGCTTTTTCTTTTGCGAATATCTAATTAACTATTAACGGTGCTGTGGGAGCAATTTCAGATTCGGAAGGAGCAAATTGGGAGCAACTTTTTGAGATATAAATCGTTAAGATACGTTTACATTCGGCGTGAACTATTTTCCGGTCAATATAATCGGTATTTGGAATGATTTACGTTACCGATAATCGATATTCAGATAATTTCCGTTCTACTGTAAATATATACTTATAGATTTAGTACAGTCATGTAATTTTTCTTTAGTTTTCAACCAGATCGTTTAATTCTTTTTGCACATACTCACATGGGTATTGTCGAACATTTTTTACGTACTAATATGGAAAGAAATCTAGACCCATGGGATTCGAGTACTGATTGCGAATTACCGGTTTCATTTTGAAAATATGTAAAACGACTGTTAAAATGAAAGTCTGAAATAATGTTAGGATGGTATGTGAACTAACTTCTTATGGTATAAAATGCTTAGAGTGATGTCCATCGGTGGCAATGCACTGTCTAAAACCAAAAAATCACGGATTGTGATCCTGTTTCTATCTTTTCTAACGTGTTCTTCGCACAAGCTGTTATTATTCCATTCTTCATGTCGTCCGGAATGGTAGGGGTGCTGTTGGTAAACATTTTCTCTTTTTTTACTGTTCATTTCCTTATTTCATTACCTTTTCAATGTTCAAGTTCACCTCAAGGTCATAAGTTAATTACATGCTTTGTAGCAACAAAATACCGACGATTTAAACAAAATTCGAAAGAAATGTTTCATGTACGATACTCCAATTCAAAATGTGTTTGAAATATCTCTCATATCATTATCAATGAAGATGATATTTAGGTGTAATAACAAGTATGACACATGATTGCGACATATTTGAAATTGATCAGTTCTGTAAGTTTTGAAATAAAAATTTCCAAAAGAGGCTTTTTTTCTGGTCTATGAATGATAATATGTATATACTTGTGCGGGAGTTTTCAAAAGCATTTGAAAATTTGGGTTCTGATTATATATTGATACAAATAAATCACGTTCAATGTACTTTAAACATATAATATATTCATTTGTATGCTTGTACATATTTCGTATTTTTTTATACAACAAAATATCTATGACAACAGTATAGTAGAGAACGGTATACAATATATAGTTATATCAATAATTCATTCATAAGTATGAGATGCAAGACAGCCTCGTTCTCTTAAGACGTAACAGTATCGGGTTGTGATTGCATTAAAATACATATAAGTATGTACTCTTCTTGATTACTCTGATGTCCAGTCTTTCGGTAGAACTTTTGCATCGATTTACTCCGCATTTAGTGGGCTTGATTTAGATTCAAATCGCTTTAGACTTGAAAAGAAATATGTATCGTTATTTGTATTCGATGTTATACGTAACACCTCAATAAAGTACGAGCTCTTCTAATACTGTTAGACCATTGTATAGTAATAAATAATATTAGTACGAATCAATTCATCGTGAAGAAGGGACAGCAATGAATTAAATACTAAACGACGCTCGCGATCATATCACTTAACTGTAAACAGGTTAATTTTAAAAGGAATCTGACAATCTGTGCGACATTTTTGTTTCTCGAACGAAAGCAATGAGAGAGAGAGTTGCATATTATTTCTTAAACGAGTACTTTCGGATATTATATGAATGTTGTAAAGTAGGCCAATCGGTTCGTGCTCCCTTCGTATTCCGACCTGCGGGTCAGGGCGGTTCACGAAAATACGAAGGAGCGATTTCGTTCGTTAAATCTTTAACAAGAGAGAATATCCATTAGTGAAAAAATATGCTATTTACACGTAAGGTATCTAGTTGTGCGTCGATTTATTAATTCGCCGTTGGAGTGTATCAAAATCTACTTAAAGGGACGATAAAAGATTCATGCAGCCGTTATTTACAGATGTTTTTCCCCTTTTCTAGACATAAACATGCGTGTATAATTCCGGCCGGAGAATTCTAATCCGGTAAATATCGACCAATTTACAAAGAAATTTCACCCCGTGACAGGGATTAATTGAAGTAATTGTACTCTGATCGAACACACGTAAAAATTGGCATAAACCTCGAAAAGAATGCTACTTTCTCGCGGGAGATTCGAGTTGCAAGCATCGTCGGCAGTTTGTCAATAGATTTGATTTAATGGTTAAAAATCGATTGATCCGTGTTCTATGTGCTCTAACGTGAAAAGTAATTATAACGTGGCCACTTCTTTCTCCAATAACGAGTGATTCATTTTTAAACGGGAGCGACAGGAACACTCGAAATCCAATATTCGTGAGATTCAGCCGACCACCTGAATAAAAACGGTAGGTTAAGATAATAAGTGCGTAAAAAATAGCATTTCAGAGAATGAAACCCGAACGTGTGTACAAGGTTGTCTCAACATTTTCCGACTGGAACAGGAATTTCATTCGCATCCGATCGTATTTTCTTCATACTATATGTACAATGTTGTTAGCACCGAAATATCCTTGGTATCTTACATTTTTCTTTCGTCTTTTGTAGGATAATATTGGTGCTTTAACCTTCAAATGCTAAATTAATCTTTTATTTATTAAAAACGTAATCAACTAATCGCCTTGTCAAAATGTTCATTTCTATAAGGTTTATATTTATTGTCAATGGATAATTACTAAAACGTAAAAAGGTAATCTCAAGACCCGGTAAACGATACAACACTTGAACATCCAATGATAGCAAACAGAAATCTCAGTTAGCATTTTAAAGTTACGAATTCTGCCAAAATCACACGAATATTTACTAAAGGCCAGTACAAATTTGGCATGAACGTGTCTTCATCTACATCTAGATACCTTCTGTAATTATATCGGATCACACAGGTAACACACACACACACACACACACACACACACACACACACACATACACACACAACTTTCTTACGCTAATATGTACACACCACACAAAGCATCACAAGATTACATACATAAATTTATACATTTGTCCATAATAAAATATCCGATTCTCTATTATGCTACTTTACATGGAGAATGATCAGCTCCACGCGAGACGTATCCCGCGCCTCCAGCAATCTGCAGCAACATTAATACATGACACACGGTACATCAATTTTTTGGTATTTATTTTGAGGCGCAATATAATCCTCGCAATACGTTCCGCTTTTACTCAGGGCGGGGAGGGGTGGGGGTGGGGGGAGAGGGGCAAGTTCTCTTTGTCTGATTAGTATTTCCACGAGACTAGAATTCTGTTTGACGAACACACGGCCGATTTAATCTGTCAACTTTGTCTAATGTTGATATGCTACTTATACGAACCATTTTCTTTGCACAATCGCTTTGGATAGTTTCTATGCTTACTTGATTGGTTCCAACGCAGTTTGATGTCGTTTCTTGAGTTTATTTACAGAAAATCACAACTGTGTTTTATGGGAGCAGCCAACTAATTATCGGACACTACATAGTTATCCCGATTTACGCGCATAACGTTAAGCCGTTCAATCTCCAGAAACTGTACATTTGATATTGACCGTTACTAGATTTGTATGTACATACACACATACGATCAAAATGATGGTACAAATTTGTCGTTGTGTAAATCAATTTAAATTTTGTGTACTCGAGGACAAAAGAACATTATTATTCCATGTAAACAGTGCCATGGCTACTCCTCTCATCGGGCGTATCACTGAATTATGAAATGTTGTAAGTAGCATCCTACTGTGAAATTTTCAACAAGCTCACTTCACTCCGTTCGATTAATGTACTGGATGGATCAGAAATGGGGGTCGGGTATCACGTGAAGATGACTAATGTCACTCCTTGTAATAAAGTATAGTATATTTGGGAGACTAAAGTATCAACGTTATCAGGCGTTTGTCATTAGCCCTTTTCACGGAAAATGGTGGGTTACCGACTATCCTAGGAACAACGTTGTCTCATTTCCCTCTATAATTTCTTTCTTTATACATAGTAGTCCAATCTGCACGCACTGCGTGCATAATAAATAAATACTTTCGAAAGTGCATATAAATCGGTGTATAATGTGTTACATATAAACAATTCGGCTCTGTTTCGATACGTCAAACGATCTTTTTCCAGCAGGTATGATTTATAGCGGACTAGCTTGTATCAGAACAATATATTTTTCTCTTTACGAGCTCCTTCGATCGTCGAAGGACTGTCGATTTTTCGTCTGCTGAAAGTAGCCATTTGACGTGTATGACGGAAATGGATCTTTTTTGATCTGTGAATTATATCTAAGTGGTAAATAAATTGATTCAATTACCTCGTGAATTAATAACAAAGATCTTACTTTTCCATTGGATATATCGTGTCAGCGTTGAAGGTATCACGCGTCGATGAGAACCATGAAAAAGGTAAGCATTGTCACGGAATAACTGAATGAAAGTTCCGCCTCGTTTGTGTCCCATTCTGTACGAGCAAGGGGTTAACTCCTGTGAGCGTTCATGTAGTTCACGAGCCATCTGTCGACAACATCAGCGTTCTCTTTCACCCAGTGTATGTTAAACTTAATTTTCTCTAGGCTTTGTTCCAGTGCTCGTTGTCCACTCCCAACGTCTACCTTCTTGAAGAACTCTGACACCTATGACATATCACCGGAAGTGTTTAGTTACTTTTTCACATTGAAATTGTTGGTAGCGTAATAATAGAAATTATTTTCATTCTAACTTTCTCTTATATAATATCATTTTTAACCCTTGACTACAGTCGAAATTCGTAGTGTCAGGGATGATCTGAATTTTTATTCCACTATCACAACCTGGGGGAGCATTTTGGATGTTCTAGCCCAGAGGTCGGCAAACTTTTGAGACGGAAGAGCCAAACCTGTCCCTTACAACAATTTAAAAATTATTTGAGGGCTATAAATATATTTTTATAAATAAGGCAAATTTAATGTAACATTATAACAAGTTATAATATTAATTATATCTTTATTAAATGAAGAAACAATCTCAGGAAAATTGTTCTCATTGATTGTATTTTCAATTTTAATTGTACTTCAGAGCCACATGTAAGCAGAGTTGGGCAGAGTTTTATTCGAATAATACACAGTGAAAAGCAGCAGTATCTAAGGGTGCCGTCCTGAGCTTTAAACAGTTAATGAGATTAAATAATTGTTCGACAAATGTCGATTCATTTATACAGAAGTACTATTTTATTATAGAAATTGAAAATTTCACGTTCAAACAATTAAAAATGACGAAATATTTTTATCTTTTATTCGTTATTCGAAACTTTTTATCTAGGTAATGAGTTTGCCCATCTCTGCATGTAAGTACCCAAAGAGCTGTACTTGGCTCGCGAGAAGCAGTTTCCGACCCCTGTTCTAGGCGTTTGATTACTTTCAGGTGGCACATTATTTCCATAACGGTAACGAAAAATAACGTTCAATTGATGTCGCGAAGTAGTCGTTTTCCGATTATTCATCTCTGAGACAAGTCGTCTGTACTTAATGATTAACACAAAAAATATTTTAAGTCTATGTTCACTATGCACACATGCTAGAGTATTAAGTTTATATTCATGTATAGCTATAGTATACAAATATATATGTATTTATAAAACCACGTGGAAATTTTTGCTTATCAAGGATAAATTAAAAGATCATTCAAGTTTGTTAGAATATACCTTTTATGCTGCTATATGTGACCTGCAATTATTCAATGCCAACAAGTTAAGCATATTTGTTATTTATTAATATTTATACATTTTGTTCTTGTAATAGTTGTTGCTTAATACACCTGGAGGCCCCTTATGTCGCAATATGGAAAATGTATTGTTTTATTTGAGAAAAAAAAGGATGGCATTGAAATTTTAAAGAATTTCCGTGTTAATTATCCATTTGAAACAAATCCTCATAGGATTTTTTTTTGCATTACATATGTACGATGGGAAGATTTAAAATGTTTGTATTGAAAATTTGTATACATAACTTATGAAACGTTAGTTAATCTTATTTCATCATAAATTAATCAATTGGAAATAGAGATTGTTCACTTACTTCATTGTAATCGTACTCCGTGCAGAAGTCAGAGATCACAACAGAAATCAGTCCACCCATTGTCAGCGATCCATTTCCAAATAAAGCATGTATCTGCGGCCAATTCGCTTTAATGTGACGCCACGCAAGAAATTGACCTTCAGGATTGCTAGCAACTGATGCTATAACAGTTTCAACATCTTGTGATCTCACGATATCTCGGTCTAACGAACGCAGAAGGTATCGTTGCAGCAACCAGGAATCTAATGTTGCCCCCAACGCTTGTAACATTATCCGCTTTTCGCTAGGTACTTGAGTATTTTGATAATTCTGCCAACAATGGTTCCATTCTTCTTCTCCACCAAATTTGATCCCTGGACGTAAATAATCATTATAAAGGATTTGAGTTATTTTTAAACGTATAAGACGTGTTCACTTTAACGGTTCGAACGATCTATAAGATATTTGTAATAAATTGTTAATAAGATACAAGGTCTGATAACAAAGTGAGGTACTTTATGTATAAATCGTTTATTATTAATCTATTTATAAAGTAATAATAATAATAATACTATTTCCCGACAAATGTAATCCTATAAATGGAAAATAGGGAAGGAGCAACGTAACAGCATGATGATGTCACTTGTCTTTGTCAATTTATGTTTTTACAAGAACACATTCGAAAAGGATCTGAGAATTAACATATTCCTCTTAGTCAATTTGGTTTCCGATGAACCGTATCTATACAGTAATAAAAATGTGTCATCGTAATTAAAAGATCCATCAACTTTGATGGTTCAAAATCGTAATGAAAAAATTTCTCTTATTCTAATATTTCGTTTTTTTTTTTCTTAAATTAGACGATTCTAATCGCTAGGTGTAAACAATACTGTTTGATTGAAATTCTGTTAAAAATAATTTTACCTGCAACATATACAACATCTCGAATGTTCGGTGCTATCCGTTTGCCTTTCCACATCCAGTCTTGGAAGAGATATTTTGCAGACTTTACAATATCGTCCATATTTATCGTTACAGCTGATTGCAGTACGCTCATTCTTAATAGCCTACATAAACAAACAATAATAAATTTCAGATTATTGTACAGTTTCATCAATATTTGATATGTATACGAGCATTAATACGGAAACCTGTGTAATTGTTTTTACTTACAGGTATATATAATATTTGAGATATAGGAGGTAAATGAACAATATAAATGAAAGTTATAGAAACATATTAGGTTTATATAATACTACTATAGATGTAAATGTATAATGTTTGTATAATATTAATATGAATTTAAACATTTTGAACAAGATGATAATATAATAACATACTACTCGGAGAATATTCATCTATCTTAAAAGAATGTTCGGCGAAAAAGCTGTAACTTTTGTGGGTTTCCATTGTCAACTTTTTTATAACTAATTCTTCAATAATTAGTTATGAAACTTCTGTTTCATTAAAAAAGAAATTTATAAGTAATTTAAATACTTTTGTACAGATTATATTTTTTTTTCATTTCATTAGTGAATTAAGCGTTCATGTTTATTTGACGTTTCTAATGTCATCAACAGTTTGTCGTATTATCACAAAGAACAAATATGTTTCAGATACATTTATATGAGTATTTTATCTAGTAAAAAAAGAGTAGACAGCCACATAACTAATCAACTGATAATCAACTGTCAGTGAGTCGCAGTAAATAGGGTATAATAATAATATGAGATTAATGTATACAAAATGTTTTTTATCCAATCTAGCTAATTATAAAGAAACTTAGCTTATTTTAATTTTTTATATGTAACGTGCAATGATCTTTGAGTTATTTTACATCAAATTCACTACTTTTTGGATTTATACATTGTATAAAATTGTAATATGACGTAGTCTACGTGAGGTTGCCCTATTTAATATTCACATCTTTCTTAATTACAATTCAAGTCGTCCTAAATTACTGAAAGTTAGAAATTTTAAGACACAGATCTTTCGATGTAATTTTTATATTAGCTTCTTCATGTACAAACAACATACTTTAGTTCAGCGTTTCTCAAACTTATTCTAAGACGGAACACTTCACAAATCCTGAAACTTTAATAAATCAAAAATAAATGACAAATCCAAGCGTTAAAACAAAATCCAACAATTTGGGAAACGCTGCTTCAGATGAAAGAATAATTATTGACAAGGAAGTGAAAACAAATTGTCAAACTATAAAGAGGACAGTCAGAATGGAAGTACAACTTTTATGTACAAATACAATCATTTTTTTTATCATTGTTTTCAATGCACAAGACATTATTGCTTCCCCTTTCGAGTTGTCTTATGTTTCTTTTGATATTGTGATAACGTGAAATATATTTCCTAAAAGACACTGACATCTTCTTATCACTAGAACTACGGAACCCTTCCAAATGACAGATTTTAGATTTCTTATTTTACAGTCACTGAAATAGTAGATACAATTGTTTCTGTCGAAGTTTATGATGATCTTTAAATCATTATACACTTCATATTATAATATGTTATACTGTCTAATATATTATATGTAATAATGTATTATAAAATTTTATTTAGTACACATTCAAGATTGGTAGTTCCAGTGTTAATATTATCGTACAGCTTGTGCTATTATCTTGGAAAAATGAAGATGCACAAAGACGGAATTTTTAAAAAAATGTATACTATCTGCAAAATTCGATTATTAGCTTGTACTCACTTCCTCAAATGTGATCCTTGGTCGACCCAACCAACGTATTTTGTAACCGGAGTTAATAATCGCTTCAAGAACGTTATGTACCTCTTGTATCCTGGACTTTCGCTTAATCTTCCTTTCCACGAGTGTAAATATCCAAGAGCCGTAGCCCATGGCACGTAGTCCCTCTCATTTAGAAGATAAAGCGATAATTCAAGTGGTATAGTAGCATTCAATTCGCCCGCTTCGCAAAGAGTAAACGCATCGTCGATAAGATTCGCGCGATCAGCCGGACTGAACTTTGTATGATCTTTTAATAAAGTGTCAATGATCGCCGTCCACATTTCCTCCGGATAAGTTACACGGTAAAATCCAGTTTGATTTACGTTGCATTTTATATATTCGACATCGCTAGGTACCTCAAATGTTACTAAAAATAAATAACATTTATTTGATATGAAACAATTAGTAAAGAATAGGGAATTATGAGTAGACTACGGATTTTTATGCATTTATAACACAAAGGAGTATGTGAAATGCAAAAGAAAGCAAAACTTCAATCAAGTTTAACATATTTTTTACTTTATTCTTAACACGCTAAATTCTGTAAGAGGACAAAAGTTTTTGTTTTTAATTCTGTCTTCGTAAGTTACTTTATAAAGTATTATTTTGCATAAGGATTCGCAGTCCAATTTCTAGGAAATAAATTCATTCGCCCTGCAAAATATATTTTCTACGTGCTAAAAAGTTGAACCAATGTGAATTGTTTATCAAATTTCATCTATTTCTATTATAACTGAATATGGAATGTATCTTTGTCTTGAATTTATATTATTCTGGACGAAGTTTTTATTAGTGTATTACGTGAAGATCATTAAAGTAACGAAAACAATTATTGGTTATTGATTATCGTAGGAATATAACGAATATTTGATTAATAATTATAAATAATTCTACTACAAAATTTTTATTATAATCATTCAGTATGGTTACCGTCAGTTAAATTCATCCACACGTTGTGAAGCTTCTGCGGTTCTTTGTCTGTGTAGTAGGTCAATGGAACGTACCACCTGTAGTCAAACGGTGATTTTGGTTGCAACAATTCTGTATCATTTTCCTTTGGCGAAAGCAGAAATCGTTTTTGGCTTGCCGTGATAGTATTTCCATCACGCGTGATTGTAATCAGCGGGAAACCCATCTGCTGAGTCCACGTATCCATAATAGCCTGTTGAGGTAATTATTTTCATTAAACAATACTATAATTGAGCCAAACATTTTTTTATACGAAATACAATTATATACGATGAAGCATTTACAGATTAATTTCATAATCCTGTAATTTTTATAGATAAAAATAAAGTAGAAATTTTAGCAAAGACTTCTTTAATTGCAAATGAAAGCAGACATTTGAAAATTAATATACTTTTTATATATACAGGGTGGGGCAATAACTATGTCTACTTTGAATATTGCCGTTATTTGTAACAATATGAAAAAAATGTTTTGTATAACTACAAGGCTATGTATTCACATAAATAGAGGAGATTTCGAGGTCATCTCGACTTTTTTTAATGGAATGCTATGTTTTTTTTATCGCGATGCGATAGCCGGTGTTGAGACGACTTCAGCGAGCTATCATTGAAGGTCATGCAAGGTCAAATGTGGTAGTAAAATAAACTTTCATACATTACAGGAGATGCTCACAGTGGTGACCGTTTGCATCAATACAAAGTTGCAATCTTTGTATCGCTGCATCACGTGCATGTCTTATCGTTTCTGAACTTATTCTAGCACATGCTGTAATTATGATGCAGCGATACGAATTCCATTAAAAAGAATAGAGATGACCTTGAAATCTCCTCTATGCCTTCACCCACGCAGAAAATGTTTGTGTCACAATATGCCTCCCTCTATACCGTGTAAGTTTTGTATATAACATTTTTTCATATTATTACAAATAACGACAATATTCAAAGTGGACATAGTTATTGCCTCACCCTGTATAATCGTAGTGGAATAATATTTATCTCAATTATGTAAGAAGAAATATATTAAACGTGTCAATACTTTTAATGTAATTAACAATTAATATGTTTCCCACAGTTTATTATGATTTCAATATCCTGTACATTAAAGAAGGTTGCATCATTTCTGTACAATGTACGGCGTATTTCCTTTATCTGGTTTCCCTTCTAGTTATATTATTTTTATTTTACTGGTTTCAATGGGATAAACGTCATTTAATGTAAAAAAAAAATATTAATTTCATTATTTTTTCACTGAACTAAAGAACTTCTTTGACCTACTCCTTAGTGTCGCTAAAAGCATCGGAGTTATAAAAGCATATAAAAAAAATGAAGTATGCTCTACACTCCCACTGTTAGTGTAATCTATTATATTTATATGTGCTAGTACTATCCATGAATTGGCATATTATTGATGATTTAAGTTATTTACTCCAGTAAAATATTCTTCTAAAATCATATATGAATTTAATTGCGTTAAATGCCTTTAGATATTATTTAAAAATATGAATCTTGACGCAAAAGATTGTTGCACATAATATTCTATTCTATGTATTCACATAAAGAAACGTAATAACTTTATGTGTTTTTAACATTTGTATGTAATCTGTTTCATATTTTTACATTTAGAATAAATTAATGAGTTATGACTAATTACAGTTGCACATACTTTCACGTCAAAGGTGTGATTTGCGTGTTTCGTAAAAGACGCCCAGAGATCTTTCGTGTCTGCGTTTCCATACGCGTGTGAGTTCAGGTATTCGTTTAGTCCACTTTTAAGAACATCTTCGCACAGAAAGCCCTCTAGCATATTGAGAATGGAAGCTCCTTTACTGTAACTGATGTCGTCAAAAATAGCTTCTATTTCGTTCGGATCCTTTACTGGCACACTTATAGGATGACTGTTAGTTAAAGCATCGAGATCGAGAGCTGGTTGTGTTTTATATAAAATAAATTGATCCATCATGCTCCATTCAGGCGAGATATGGTTCACTCCTTTAAATTCGAAGAAACTGGCCGCTCCCTCGTTTAACCATAAGTCGTTCCACCATTTCATAGTGACGAGATTACCGAACCATTGATGAGCCAGCTCGTGGGCTATAACTACGGCAACCCATTCGTGAGCACTCGTCGATGTTTCCTGCGGGTCATAAAGTATCGACGTTTCTCGGTACGTGATTAGGCCCCAATTTTCCATTGCCCCAGCGGCAAAATCCGGAATAGCTATTAAGTCTGGTAAAAACGAATGAAAATAAAATTAAACATAGAAATCTGCCAGTTATATAACTGACTGTTATTAAGATCAGTTTAACTGATTTGTCAAACTCACTTGTCTCCAAATACGAGTGACATGTATATTAAAATTGTGAATCGAAATAGTCTACTGAATTAATTATAATCTGGCTTATACATTTTAATCAGTATTCATGAAAGGGTGCTGTTCAATTACTAATATGAATGCTTCTCGAATTAGTTGGACAAAATTAATAGATTATTCTTAAGAGATCCCTATAAAAAAATATTGGATATTTCGAGTACTTATTATATACGAAGCGTAAAGATACTGTATATTACAAAAAAATGTCATTATTAACTTGAAAATATTTTCAAGTTAATTTCTTTCAAGTTTGTTTCTCTGTGCACCTTATTCTGCAGTTACACAAGGTGGGCCACTAGAAACAGGCCACTTTAGTATATTTTGTTGTACCGATTTTATAAAACTGTATGTTAGTGAAAAATCCTTCATAGCACAACATGTTTTTTACGATCATTTTCTTGGTGTTATTAATATAAATATTATTGTTCAATGAAATAATATATTGTTCTTCCAATGTTACGATAGTCAGGAACAAAGCGCATACAATGATCTGTTTGTAATATGCATTCACATTTATGTCGCCAGTTATCAAAATAAGACAACTTACACGCTCGATATAATTTAGGTACAGTTCGCCATTCACAATAGATGTTGCCCTCAGTGGCGAATTGTATCTATATTATACCGAGAGTGTATGTTGTAATATTTCCATAATTAGAGACAAAAATATGAATGTGTCTTACATTAGATTATTGCATTCGACTTGTTTATAACTATCGTTACAGTATGAAAAAAGTACATATATTTCATTCCATTACGTCAGAAAAATGTTCTGCTATCTGGTGTTTGCCTAACATACAGGGTGGGGCAATAACTATGTCCACTTTGAATATTGCCGTTATTTGTAATAATATGAAAAAATGTTATACACAAAACATACACGGTGTAGAGGTGGGGGGGGGGGAGGTGAAGGCATACAGGTGATTTCAAGGTCATCTCTATTTTTTTAACTTTCTTACAAGTCAATGCAAAGTTGCAATCTTCGTTTCGCTGCATCACGTGCATGTCTTATCGTTTTTGAACTTATTCTAGCACATGTTATTCCTATTTTCTAGTGTAGTGGGTACCTCTTGATAAACAGCATTTTTCAATGCTACCCAGAGAAAAAAATCTAATAGGGTTAAATCTGGAGAACAGGGTGGCAAAGAAACTAATCCTCCACGTCCTATCCATTTATTTGGGTAAAGTTCGTTCAGTGCATCTCTTACTCTCCGAGCATAATGTGCTGGACACCCGTCGTGCTGTAACCACATCATTTGGCGAACGTTTAGTGGTACATTTTCTAATAAAGTCCTCTATGAAATAATACAGCATGTGGTAGAATAAGTTCAGAAACAAAAATTGCAACTTTGTATTGACGCAAACGGTCACTACTTCGAGCATCTCCTGTAATGTAAGGAAATTTATTTTACTGCCACATTTGACCTTGCATGACCTTCAATGATAGCTCGCTGAAGTCGTCTCAACACCGGCTATCACATCGCGATAAAAAAAAACAGCATTCCGTTAAAAAAAATAGAGATGACCTTGAAATCTCCTCTATGCCTTCACCCACGCAGAAAATGTTTGTGTCGCAATATGGCCCCCCTCTATACCGTGTTAAGTTTTGTATATAAGATTTTTTCATATTATTACAAATAACGGCAATATTCAAAGTGGACATATTTATTGCCCCACCCTGTATATTCCTATAATATCGGCACATCAAATGATTTTTGTATCTGACCGAAAGAGACTTGTTTCTAGCCCCTACAGGGTATTTCAGCTAACTTGATCACTTCGAATAATGATTTACCGATACAATTTATGAAAATTTTGAGGCATGGAACTTAAATGGCATCAAAAGGCACATCTTATAAGGTACGTGCTCTTTTTGTGGGTGGAGGTATTTCAGAGATTTCAAGGTCACCTTGATTTTTTGGAACGAAATGACCTATTTTTTGTACTATAGATCGATAGAGTATAAAATTTTGAGTAAAAATGTGGCGAACTTCATACGTCCTAAACCTAATAGTTAACGAGATCTTTATTTACTCACTATCTGGAAGCTATAAGTGCTCGAATTGATGCCCCGCAACTTCAATACAGCGATTTCAATATAGTGATTATTTTGTAAATATCTCGTTAACTATTAGATTTGGGACGTATGAAGATCAACATATTTTTACTCAGACTTTGATACTTCATCGATCTATAGTACAAAAAATAGGTCATTCTGTTCAAAAAAATCAAGGCGACCTTGAAATCTTTGAAATGCCTCCACCCACAAAAAAAGCGTGTATCTTATAAGATGTACACCTTGATGCCATTTAAGTTCCACGCTTCAAAATTTTCATAAAGTATACCGTTAAGTCATTATTCGAGGTGATCTGGTTAACCGTGACACCTTGTATAGATCACTTAAATCAGAAATAAAAACTAAACAAAAAAATGTCCTATGGTCGAAAACGTAATTTTGTATTCAAAATTACGCATCAAAATCAGCAATTTCAGAGAACTATGGGAGTCACTACATATTTACATTGATTGGTATTGTCATTTCGTTCAGGAAATTACTCAATCTACAGGTGGTGTATCTAATGGGCCTTTAAAATGCATCCTATATTTGTATCATCTGCCTATGTAGCCTACTTGTTTTTCTCTTTTATTTTCTGATCTGATAGATCGAAATCAGTGATTCAGGTAAAATATAAATTATTCTACGTATAAAAATAAATTAAAAATACATATTATTTTATTTTCACAATGGTATACTATCGACGAAATCAAGTTTGAATATAGTATATGCTTCAAATATGTATTAAATTTCGTTTTAGTTAATTTTGCTGTATTAGATTAATATTCATTATAAAATAATAGTATATACTAATTTCTTTCCAATTGCTTTCTGTTTTACGCGTGGGTAAGTTACTGTCGAACAGATATGTTTAGAAATTTTAAATTAACCATGGAACACAAATTTTACCTAAATACCTTTTAAAGTAAATTTCATCAAAAACAATCCTTTTATAGAAGATATAGATATATCCGTGATTTATTTATCGGTGTAGAATTAATCACACGTTGTCTTGGTTACGTCAGTTATTTCGTGACACTGTTTATCGTACGTCCTTACTATTTCCTCGCGAATTTTTTCAATGACAGACTTTAACCTGCTAATTGTTGTCTGTCCAATTGCTTCATGAGTTGACTTCATTCATTTCATTTTATTTCATTCTTTAAATTTAACTAGGTCATCGATCGATCCAGTGTGTTAGCTGGGAATGGACTGTCATAAGTAATGTAACCCATCGCGTCAGACGTATTTTCAACAATTAATAACTCGGAAACAAAGCCTTGAACACAATTCAGTCATTCTTGATGTTTTGCTTGGTTTTGCGTGTAGAATTCACTCTGTGAATGTGTCCCACATTTTTATTAACATCCTGTACACGATTGTTTTAGCTAAAAAAACTTTTCAACCTGTTTTTTAACTCTGTCCAACTTTAGAATAACCTCGTTTCACGCATGGAATGGGTTTAACCCTTTTAGTGCCGGGCGAAATAGAGGTGCCTATGCGAGAAAAACCGGCCGAATTTCACAGTTTTACAAGGGTTCGGGAAAATGCTTATAAAAACCAAACGAGAAACGATATTTACATGATTCAAAAAGCTGCGTATTATAGATGAAATACAGAACTAAACAATGACACTAGTTTTTTTTGTACTCATTTGAGAATTATAGAAAAAACAAAGGTATATATGTTTATAAATGAAGTAAAAGTTGAGTTCTCTCGTACAAAACGTATTTGCACATACAAACAGCCATCTTTTCACCATAATTTTATATGGGTCAATTATTATGAAGCATATACTTTGTATTTCCAATATATTTTGTAACAAGATAAACAATATTACATAACAAAAATAAAACATAACTTGAAGGTACACGGTAGGCGCCAGGCGGATTATCTCTTTCGAAATATGTAATTGTTATCGGTCGTCGTCCACAAAGAGTTAAAACGAAAAACTATTTTTTTTTAATTCTCTCATAATGAAATTAGATCATTTATAACGTATTACAAATTTATTTTGAGATAGAGTTCCCCCGCAATGCGAATAGTAAAGCGCTACGAGGCGCGGGCCGATATATCGGCTCTGGCACTTCTCGCCAGTGTAGCAGGAGCCGATATATCGGCTCCCGGCACTCAAAGGGTTAAAGAGGCATTGCAACGTTCGAATCCCCACTACCTGTTTCGTTGGTGTCTGTGACGTCACCTTGGGCCATACCGTTAATTGGTAGGAGACCGGCAGAGATAGTGAGCTACGAGCAATCGCATGCGTCAGATTGGTAGGCAGTAGTGGGGGCTGTTCATGTCGGCCGAAAATTCGTCCGAGCGTGAGGTTATTCTTAAGTTGCACAGAGTTTAGATGGATGTCGTTTCCGATGCTTTTTCTTGATACATAGTAATTATTTTAGTGATCTAGAAAAATAATTATACGACGAGACAAAGTCTACTGAATTGGATAGATGTTATAAAATTTTGCAGTTAAAGTAGTGTGTAATTTTTTTACAAATTTGATAGAACGTTTCGAAACTGAACTTTGTATCTACTTGGTATCTACAGAAAATAGATTCAATCCATATCTGGAAAATAGTACTTCCTTTTTACGTGGGGGAATGGAAAATGGTACCTGTTTACCAGGTGAACCATGTTTTCTTTCGGCGATTGAAAAGGTAACGAGGACACTGCGCTCGAAATGCTACCAACTTTCTGAACGAACCAATATTTGTGAACTTAATGACATTAAGTGATTTATTAAAAATCTACGCAATGTTTCTATTACATACCTTGTTTAGGCAATGGATAATACAGTCCGAAAAAGGATTCAAAGTACTCAATTGTACGAGCAGCAGTATATACAGCATAGTTTGCTTGTGGAAGCATCGCCTCTGCTGCATAAACGCTTACGGAAATGTTCCTCTCCGTCAGCCTCGACACTCGTTTAAAGTCGCACACCACAAAAGCCACTAAGTACGTAGACATTTCGACAGATTCTTGGAAGTCATCACGGAGCTGAGAATATTATTCACCGTAAATAAGTTTAAAGTGTTATTGTTTTGTATAGAGTTTAATGTATTCCATATATTCACTGCGATTAATAGGTTCAAGCAGTTATATTTGAAATTTATTATCATATAAATTATGTATAAGGTTTTATATACACATCAGGAAATTTGTGCTATACCTGAACAACAAAAACACAATGGAATCGGCATATAAGTTAACGTAACATCTTGCTATTTAATTTCAGGAGTAATATTACTATGAAGACTGATAAAATCTTTTTAAAACTGTGAAAGGTTATTATTCCGAGCCATGTTTATTCAACATTATTTCTTGGATTTTTTAATTACTATATATACTTCTATATCTGAACTCATTTTGGGAACATTCCATATTCGAATGTAAATAATTCAATATCAAAGACATCTGAACAAATCGTTGCTTTTCTGCATTTCTGTAATTAAAAAATAGTCAACAATGGTTACGAAGATTGCAAGATATAGATTTCAATTTTTCGTAAAACTTTTACAAAGACTTAAGATATTTGTACTTTTTCCACCATCATAGTTAAGAAATGAAATACTACTGAATGTTTAAAAAAATTTTATAGCAATCATTGTCCTGTAGCGTTTATTGTATTATACAGAAATAATTATCGTCTAGGATGTGTTTTCCCTTATCAGAAAACAAATACTTTGGAGTTTTTATCACATCATAAAATCCAATCAATAATTATTTATCATACTTGTCATATTACGTTTCTTGAATGTAGCAAAATTCGTGGTAGAACGGAAAGGGTGAATGTACGAAACAAAATTAAAAGAGTAGCACGAGTTTTTCATGCTGAGCTTAAAAAATATCGAGAAAATATATTTTTTTTAAAATTGATCAAATACGTATACAGCTTCATACATCTTCGCTAATAATCGACATAACTCAATTGATACGCGTGGATTTCAATGAATTTGGGAAATTTGAAAAAGTAACAGCTTTTTTTTCGAGAATGTCAAATGTCACTTTTGCTTTGACAAAGTGAAGATTCTCGGAAATTTGTTGGATGTCAAAATTGTAGTTTTGTCTTGCTGCGTAATAAACTGATTTTTAAAGGTAAGTACGTACAATAACATATTTCTATGTAATAACTCATCTTTGCCTTACTAAAGCCAAGAATAGTTTCAGAAGTTTTCATAAATAAATTGTAAACATTAATGTCGGGTACATGCACGGTCTTGTATATCTGCAACGGGTAGCTTTTTTCTTAATAAAACGCTATTAAAAATTATAAACAAAATGTTTCTTTAGTTTTCTTTGCATCAGCATGTACATGTCTACGAAATATATATTTTTCACGAAAAATAAATCAATCATGCCTTTAAGGGTTAATTATTTCAACTATATCGTAGGTTCCTGCGATAGACGTTGGAGTATCTTTCAATAATCATTTTGAAATTTTGATTTCCGACTACTCCACATTGAGATATCGTGGGTAGTGATGTGACCGATACCGTATCAATATTATCGATACCCTATCTCCAAGTTTTAATACGGTATTGATGCGTATCAAAGACGTAGGTATTAAAAGGAATCGATACCTATTTGATACCTACTTGAAAGTATCGATACTTGTTTGATACCTACACGAAGTATCGATACCTATTTGATGCCTACTCGAAACATGAATACTTTTCGGCGCGTTTATTCCGAGGTGGCGAGCGTGGAGCGCTGAACTTCAAGTGTAATTCATACATATTCAAAAGTAGACATTTTTCACGCTATATATTTCAATTACTTTATTACAATAGAAAACACATAAAGATAAATTAGCGATGTTCCATAACAAATCAAAAAAATAAATATAAAAATCATTTACTGTATGTAAGACAGAAAATATTCCTTTTTTTTTTAAATTTAAAAACCATATGACAGCGAAACCGTATAAATCGAGGGATGTTCTTGTAGACCCCAGATTCACTCAGACTCTATGTCGTTCAACACTTGGCGCTCGACCCTCGGCGGTAGTGATGGGCACCATCGACTAAAAACTATCGACTAAGTCGATAGTAACCAACGACTACTTTCAGTCGACTAATTTTTTCAATCGTCGACTACTTTAGTCGCTTGAAGCGTCTAACTTCAGGCGAATAATATTAGTCGCTTGAAGCGACTACTTTCAGGCGACTAATATTAGTCGCTTGAAGCGATTACTTTCATACAAAATTTAGAGCAGTTAATTTTCTACGTGTCAATATTAAATAGCTTACAAAAAATCGAATATTGGTAATTGTTTAAAAAAGCTTGTTCACCACTTATATTTTCGAAATTCTATCTATGAACTAATACATTTACAAAATGTAAATACACCAATGATGCTGAAAATTTGATGACATAATCTATACATAACCTATAAAGCAAAATTTCAGACGACTAACAACTATCGACTAAATAGTCGATAGTATGTTGCGACTAAGTAATCATTAGTCGATAGTTTAATTTAGTCGATGGTGCCCATCACTACTCGGCGGCTCGAATAAACACGCTGTCGAAAATATTGATCTTTCGTGTAGATATCAAATAGCTATCGATACTTTTGTGAGGTATCAAACGGGTTTCGATTCGGCGGCCTATTGGAATGGTATCGAATCAAGAAGAGTCGGTATTGATACTTGATACCAAGTACCCATAATTTTGATACGTATCGATACTTCCCACTGAGCACTTAAGGTATTGAATCGATTGAATATCATCAATAGTGTTGGCATCGATCCCATCACTAATCGTGGGCACCGTTTGTACAATGCCATTTTGGATCAACACGATTAGCGCCACCTACAATTTGTCACGTTGCACGAATATTGAAACAAAATTTTGTTTTTAATTACTTGAATTGTATAATAAATAAAAGCCAGGAAGTTTGTTTATCATATCATCATTACATTCTTTAAAATAAAGTCCTAAATATCAGCTTTCATTCGGGCCGCTAAAGGGGAAATGTGCCTTAACGGTCTACTCAGAGAAACTCACTGTAACATTTTATTTGGGGTACCGTATGTACACGGTCTATCCTCGAAATAACCGAACTTTTTAAAAATAGGAAAAACCAATAACGGCATCTAGACGAAAATTTGGCATTAGTAATTACATCCTTGATTAACATTCTACCGAGTTTTTGACATTTGGATAATTAAATTAAAAGCCGATTTACAGCACACAAAGTGACAGCATTTTTTGTACACGGCTTGAAAAATGAGCTTGAAACAAAGAACCAACATTAAATTCTGTTTTAAATTTAATAAAACAGATAATTGTTTATCTTGTACACAAGTTTACGGCTGGTTTAAACAATTTGAGGCGGGTTAAAAAGATAGTAACGACGATGATCGGCCAGATCGTCAGGGACCGGTAAGTATCGAAGAAAACATCGAGAGAAACATCGAAAAAGTGCAGGAAATAGTCACACTTCAGTAAATATGTATATTCGGTACAATTGTTAGAAAAGAAGCTGAGATTATCAAAACAAACAATTTATCGCATTTTGATCGACCAGATAAAATTTCGCAAGTGTTTATGCACGATTTCTGTCTCACACATTGACTGGTTATCAAAAATTGAATCGAGTTGATCATTGTAAAGACATCATTAAAACCGCCTGTAAGCATCCAAACTTCCTTAAAACAATTGTTACTGGTTTGCTTTTGGTTACTGAATTATTTTTTATTTCCACGGCATAAAATAACCGTAAAAGTAAAACAAGATGACATCTCAGACATTCAAAATACTGTGACGAGAATTCTCAAAGGCGTTCCAGAAAAGGAAACAAAGCAGTCATTTGATAGATTGCTTGACCAATTCAGTGTATAGCCACAGAAGGAATGTTTTGTGAACAAAATAAAACATTTTTTCCCAGAAGTTGCATACTCTTTGTTACTTTTCAAAAGTTCGATTATTTTTGGGCCAGACGTTGAATATTTTCTAAGGTATACATACTGTGTCGCATAAGTTTTATACTCACAAGTCCCGTTCCCATATAAAAACCCGCGTCTTCTGTGTTCATTACGGGCATATTGCATAATGCAATATGAAATCTGTCCCTGAATATCGAGACTTTAAATTTAGCTTTAAATTGTGGCTCATCGAAGCATGGAAACGCTGAACGCGCGTACGTCGGCTCGAAGTGAGTAGTGGCCAAATACCTGCAATTGAAACGATTCGGTTACGACCACCTTCGAAATAAAAAAAAAAATTAATTAAGGTGTCAGAATGACCTCTTTTCTCCTTTCCGAGTGACGTAGCTGCTAAGGTAGAATCCTTCGAGTTCACTCGTAAGTTTCGAGATGAACCTTAAGTGTACAGTATAGTTTCCCCTTTTCCGAAATTTACTTTCCTCCAGTTCTAGGTATAACTGCTGGTGCTTCGGATACTCCAAGAGCTTCGAGATTTTTAATCTATGGCCTTTACGGTCTTGAATCATCTGAAAATAAACATTTTGAAAATTAAATGACACAAATCACACACACACACGGCACAACTAACTGTAAAGAAATAATAATAGGATTGATAGCTTGCCTTTTCATTTATTGTCAAATTTTTACTATGGAAGACAATATAGTTGGTTTCTTTATCGACATAGAATTCGATTGTGACCTGTCCTAAAAACGAAAATCAATGATCAGTTGCTACGCGTGTAAACTTTTTAGCGTTTATAAAGCCGATAGCGATACAGAAGAATGGCTTTATGATGGCTATTTTTTGATTATACGAAGTTTTATTTTTTAGATTACTCTGTTATTAGCAGTCCGATTGAAAATGTTTTTATCAGGTATAGCATGGTTTCAAGAGAGCTTTATCGTGATTATAGTTTTTCAAGGTCACCTTCAATTTTTTGCAAATGCACCTACAATTTTGTTTACGCCTATCTGTTAGAGAATTTCAAGACGAATTCGGTAAATATCATAACATAACTTTTACCTTAATTTTTTAATTACATATATTATATTAATTATTATATAAAATAATAATAAATCAATGAAATTGACAGAAAATTTGCTATAATCACGTTAAAGCTCTCTTGAAACCATGCTATACCTGATAAAAACATTTTCGATCGGACTGTTGATAACTGAGTAATCTCTACTGATCACAATTCGTGGTTCACCCTGTATATCACATTTTGTTTGCGAGAAGAAATTTGATCTATAATGTTCTTACTGTAGTATACGGTATAAGTTTTCATTTGTTCTAACATAAGTAGTTAAGAGAGCATTATATTAAATGTAAATTAATGTATTGTGTACCTTTTACTTCTAAGGTGGTAAGGTTTGGATGGATGGTAATGTTGTACCTAGTAGGATGCGCAAACTTAGGTAGCCTTACGTTATTCCAGGGGAACACCTATAATGGGTTTCATTCTTTTCAATTATTCTTGTACTACCAATTGAGCGATGCATTACAACTGTACACGTTCTACGTATTCTAATCCGAGACCATACTTTCCATGCAACTAAGAATAAAATATGACGGTTAGCAGTTAGGTTTGCCCCGCGGATTATGGTCATGCCTTGCAATTGATTTCCCGCCAAGACGTTTCGTATTCACGTTTAGCTTTAGGTGAAGACTTTCAAGCTCAAATACAGAGAATACCACGTATGTATGTACATGTACTCATTAGAATTAAGTTTTCGTGGATTCTATGTGTTTTATATATTAGCATCCAATGAAAATTCATTCATCCTTTTATAGCAAACTGTGTTTGTAAATTAAATTAAACTTTTATACATTCGAAAATATTTATAATTTAAATTTAATACTGTATAAAAGTTATATGTTTCCGACGAAAAATGTAAAAAACATAATACACCACTTGGTCGTTATTGAGTATAAACGAAGATCATATTTCGATTATGTAAACTATTCTGAATTATTCATACCATTCCATTTGAAGTTTTGTACGGATACACATGCTTTTAATTACTTCGGCATTGTATCCGAAGTATGTGTTACGAAGCACATGTTTTGCTCTAGTTTAACGTTACGATCATATAGCCAACAAAACAAACATAAATGATCGTACCTCTCCATTAGTTGCAAGGGGCTCACTGCTTTTTCCATCGTCCTCGATTTCCAGGTTAGCTGGCTTTTCTCCAGCACAAGGGCAGTCTACGAAAATTAAACACGAGGGCACATTAAAAAGCAAGAACAACTTTTACGAGGGATGGGTCATACGCGCAGTTTCATAGTTTCAAATGTACTTCTATAAACAAGTGCGTTACTGTTAACATGGTGTAATTACCGATAAGCTATTTAACAATACCATTTTGTGGTCCCGCGAAGGCAATGATGAATGATATGGCGAAAAGTATCGCGAAAACGACAGTGGCAATACAGAGAGCCCTTTTTTGAGAACACACAACCCCATTGTGTTCGTAAATGCTACGTTTGTGCAATCCTGTGTTGCTATCTCCTGAAACAAAGTGTCTCCTGAAGTAGTGTATATCAGGTGTACATGTGGTTTTAATTTATTCAAATAGATGGTAAAACATATATTCCTTGTTATATTTATTCTCAGCAAGGAAAGAAATTATATTTAAATTTATAAATAAATGAAGTTCGAAAAGATCATCGAACGTTCAGAAAAAGAAAACATATACAATGTATAGAAATAGTAAAATTTCGAAATAAGAAAACTTGGTGTCCAGCGACACGAGGAAACGCGTCGAGTTTCGTGACCTCGGCTACACACACTTGACACAGATTTTTGACTGGCCGGTGACAGGCCACACTGACGTTAATGCAGTTGCTTGGAAACATTTGAAATTCCTGCATACGTTTTCATTATTGAATGAAGCATAAAAAGAATAATCAACTGCTATTGCATTCAAAGAAATGCATAGAAATATGCCAGTTAATAGGCATTCAGACTTGAGTGCAACAACAAGTTCTTAAGTAAACATGAGTCAGGTTTAGTAACGAGGTGTCCAGAAAACTCATACATTGGCACCTAAGAACCATTCTACAATTAAAATCCAGCGATTCGTATAAATATCAACAACACTAAGTATTACGTTGCAATGTATTGTTACTGTGTTACATTAACAAAAGAACGATACACTCATGGGCCTTAGACTTGCTCATTCCTCTTGTCGATACGTTACAATTCTAGTAGGTTAACGTGTCAACCATAGTGTCGCGGACACGCATATACGAGAATAGGCGGGCTAGCGTGCTTGAATTTGAAAGATCAGAAGCTTCTCTCTTATTGATCGCACGCACGTGCTTCTCGTATAGTCTATTCGCAGCCCGGAGGGTCGTAAGTGGGCCATCTGGTCGAACGATTACAAAGGAAAAGGAAAGAATCACGTGGTTGATAACAGAGATAGAAATATACGAAATAAGACGGAATTGCGGAGATACAGGAGGGGTGGGAAATTGGAGCGTGGAAAAGAGGCGCTAAAAACAAGATTATATAGGACAGACGAGATCGAGGTGACACGAGAGACCCTTCAAAAATGAACTTGATCTTCGTCGATCCCTCACCTGTCAAAAAGGCAACGTCATCCACATCCTGCTCGCTCATCGCGAAACGATTCGGCGGTGGTCTCCGACGAACGATTTCTTTTACCTGACCGTCGTTCGTAGCATATAAGATTTTTATCAGGGGCTCTCGCTGTTCAGCCAGAATTTGGGCGGTCGTACTCGTGGCTGCCTGCTTTACCTGGCGGTCACTTTCTGTTGATAGGCTGTCGGCTATTATGCCCAAGGTCAAGGAATCGTCAGGGAAGCGACAGATTTAGGTGGATCAGTAGGACTCCAGCCTCCTTCTCCTTGACCCCGTTTCTTTTTCCCTGGCTCGTTCGTCGAATGTTGTTCAGCAGTTAATCGCCGGGACTGAGATTGGCCGAGTACGTTGCATCGATCACGAGCAATAAAACGATTACGGGCACAAGCAGGAGCACGAGCACGGGCACGAGCACGAGCACGTTTACAAGCACGAGCACGAGCACGAGCACGGTCACAAGCACGAGCACGAGCACAAGCAGAAGCCCGAGTACGAGCGCGACCAACGGGATCGCGAGGATCCGCGACAACGTGACGATGCACGGGCTAGCGATGACACCGAGCAGCTCGACAACGCCGGCTAGTCTATAACCCACGACGTGCCTTGACATTTCATTGGCATTAAAACGTGTGGATATAGCGACTGCGGAGTTAGGCAGAAATGGCGACTTTCCAAACTCCTTCGGTGGCGAACCGCTTTACGGGGGTGAATTTCCAACCCTCGCCACACCGTACTTCGTTTCGCCTCGCCTTGCAGCGGAGGTGGGTTGCTTTTACAGTGGCGCCATCCGTGACCCACCCTTTATAGTGACTCGTAGCTCGAATTGCCGTTCCGTTTCGATATACCGAGGTTGGTAAGAAAATTCTCTACCTAATTCTCTACTTTTTCCGCCTCGAGTCACGTATTAGGTATTACTTGTTTCATCTCGGATCATTTGAGATTTTACTGATCTCGATTAGGAAAATTGCGGTGGGATGCTTGGAATGTCAAATAATAGTATTTCGATGGAAGAATGAATATTTATAGTTTGATATTCGTGTATCTAAATGGTATTAATCCCTTCGTCGACTACGTTTACAAGGGCGTTCATATCGCGAGATAGTAATCCAAATAATTCTATAAATAAAATAAAGAAATAGACACGTGTAAAATTATGGCATTAAATTCAAAATGTAAGACTGATATTATAGGTCAACATACACTTTGTCAATTTACAGGCCCATTTGATATGTACAGAGAACAGATAAGGGGTTAATAAAAATTTAATTACTTTAGTTGATTGCCATTTTTCTGTCTCAATATTTGTCTTAATATACTAATTCATGTTTATTTAATTTTGAAGAATATGATCATTTTCGATAATCGCAAGACATGCTTTAATAAGTGATAATTTCCCTTTTAACAAACACAAATGGCCATTTGCTTCTTAAAATGGAACAACATCGTTTATGAGAAATCTGTTATTTTAGTTTTATATGTTTCAGAAAGATAGGATTCCATTCATCTTTCTTTAATTAATTCACTAGGGGCTACTATGTACATACGGAACGAAATTATGGCTATTCTGGTTGATACAGAGAGGTAATATAACCGTTATAGGTTACGGTTATGCGAAGAAAAGAAAATCGATACACCACGTTTCCAATGAGTTGACTTGCGATTCATATATTGGGTACAGTTTTCCACTTCACAGGTAGATTATGAAACACTTGGCATCAGACCATAAAAATGAAACGTTTTGTTAGACCCATTGTACCTTTATTGTTGCACATTTAAAAGTCGAATATTTTACTTTTCCATGTACTTTAATTTCTCGAAAAACTACAGTTATTTATGACCGTTTAAAAAAATTGTGAAACATAATATTTTATAAAAAAGACGCTTACGCACAGAAAAGTAAGTGTGAAGTAAAACGTAGAAACAAAAAGATTTTAAAACTCTTTATTCCTCTTAAAGACTTTAACATATTGCTTCATATATTTATTCAGTTATTGTTCAAGTAATGTCGTAGTTTATCTCAAATTTATTTAAAGTAATTATACATATTCTTGTATTTATGTTTAACTTTGGCGTATTGTATCATTCTGAAAAATTATTTTTTTCAGAACAAACATGAAAATTTAATTCAATGTATTTATTACAAACTATGTATATTCATGGTTGATGGTTTATCCAAGTTTGGAGAGAAATAAAACGTTTTCGAATGTAACTTCGATTTTTATAATTCGTCTCGTATGTACGTTACACGATTAAGTACACCGTTAAGCAAAATGTTCAACAGTTTACCCCACTATAGTGACAAAACAACATTCATGTGTATGTTACAATGAATCGTTGCACGGGTCGTAGTCACAGCAACAAACTTTTTTCAAATTGAAAAATGTCAGTTCATAAAACTTTCTTCGATGTTTATAATTCAACAGTTTTATCGCTCTGTTAAAAATAGAAAAGATAGAAAAATTTATTTCTAGCAGTAGATGAAAGAATGTAAGTAGAATATTATAAAAGGAAGATCCATAAGACACAAGTACCTATCGTATAATGGTGTTTTCGAAATAGTGGTACAACCCGAAACGATGTGATTCTACATGCAAAGATAAGTCGAAAATATAGACTGATTTTTTACATGCGATACTTTATTTTCTCAAAAACCGAGTTTGAAAATTTGCGGGATATGTGTGCAATTGCATAGGATTTGGCTACTGTGTTTGTTCGTTGTATTCTGTTTCTACTTATTGTCACTTTGAATACATACGCGTTGAATAAATTTTGAAAACTGACTAACTTGGAAACGAATCATGAGTGGACATCCGACTGTTATAAGAAAAAAAGTTGCAATTTATTAGTTCTTCCTAAGTAATGTCTTATCCTTTTTACTTATTTTTATAGTTTACGTATTTATATACAATATTTGTAACTAAGTTTATGGAATAATTTAATTTCTTTTGAATAAGAGTATTTACAAGCTTAAGAAAACAAAGCAGTGCAGACAAAATTATGTGGACATTGTATTTCGGAAGAGGTCAAAACTTGTAGATTTTCGATGCTTCAAATTTCTATATGCTTATAATGAATATTTCGAATTCCTTTCGGTATTGATGTTCTCGTTGCACTGATTTGATCGTTTTCTCGGAAATTTTTCGTTTAATCTAAGGATGGAAAATAAAAAAAAATTTCATTTCAAGTCCAAGTATTAGAAATTTCTGATTGTTGGAATGGCCTCAACTATAGATATACCGCGAAAAGATATGATATAACTAAAAGTGCTCTTGCAAAGTTTTTGATAAAGTACGTAAAATTTAATACTTATGGCAAACTTGATCGGCCGTTGTCGTGTGCCATTAGCGTAGCTAGGGGGGTGGGCAGAGGGGCACTTGCCCCCCCCCCTGGACAGAAAAAAATGGCTTTTGCCCGACCCTACAAGACGAAAAAATTGGAATTTGCCACCCCCCCTCCCTTCCCTTCCCAGAGTTATATTTAATATTGCAGTATAATTTGCAACACGACCAACAGCCTCTATTAATAAAACGCATACATTTTCAACGATTTATGAATTCAAAAACAAAATAAAAGGTGTCTGCCTATGTACAGCCTTTTTCACTGTGGTAGCCGATGTATTAATATTTTTAACCCCCCCCCCCCCCGAATGATAACCAGGCTACGCCCATGTCGTAAGCGGTGTACTACAGAAAGATATGACAAACGGACTGTTAGGGAATTCCGAATCGAACCGTCTATTACACGTCCCGAAATAACTGAGAGACGCAATTTAAATGTCTCCAGAAGAACCGTGCCTCGTAGAATAAAGGGTATAAATTTTCATAGTCGTATACCGCTACAAAAAACATTCATAAGCGGTTTAAATAAATGGAATTGTTTCAGTTTCATCAAAAAATATATTAATA